CCTCAAACTTTCAAGATGGCTTTAAATAAAGGAATTAAAGAATAAGTTTTGGACCCCCTGAATGCTGCAATGCAAAATAAAGTAGACAAACTTAGTGCTAAGCAAAAATCAGGATATGAAAACAAGGAAATTTCATATATTAAAAAAAACAAAACAAAACACCTTTAGCACATCGGATTATTTGCAGGGAGAAATAACATACCAAGAAAGGGATATTAAAAATGATACTCAAAGGTCCCATTTCGAAGAAGCGCACGCCAGCGTGTGTTTAAGTGAAGCATATGCCTAGATCCTAACTTCAAAGCAAGTGCTTAAATCCTTATGTGAACTGTGAGCAGGATCAGCTACTGCCTGGCCTTGCTCAGAGCCAGTAAGTGCGCTATGATACCCCTTCTGCATGAGGGTGATTTTATATTGCTTGGAGCATGCAGTAGTTCGCAGGGTTTGTTCACCAATGGGCTACAGGGGTTAGCAGAGAGGCATGAATTCAGTTATTCCCGCCCCCCTTCCCTTTTGGTTTGTTATCTGTACTATGCAGGCAAGAGAACAGAAATAAGTCAATTAAAAAAAAACAACCTGTGCTTTCACTCGTAAGAGGTAGAGCTGCCAAGTCTGAAGTGTCCCAATTTAAATTTCATCGGTGAAATTAAAAGTTCAAGGTATTGTGGTTTTCCTGGCAAAATATGTCAAACCAGAGAGAAACTTCAGAGAAAAGCAGCACATTCTCCATCTGACTGTAGATTTGGTTGCCTGCCGAAGAATTCAGGTCTGATTTTCCAAATTTACATTTTTATCACTTACAAAACCTCTTGCTTTGCACTCTCATGGAGCAATGCTTCAACTTGACAGCAACAGCTCTGACAGCAAAGAACTTGAGGAACGGAAGGGGTGGTCACCAGGTGGGGAAGAGGGAAAGATAGCCAGATAGGAACATGCTAATGGTCTTTTCTGGTGTCTAAAAGGCATTTTAGGGTTCCCTAAAGCTTTTTCCAAAAGCTGAATTGATAATGAAAAGAAAAGGTTAGAAGGTCCAGCATACGGACATACCTAACTGTTTTCTATAATGATCCACACCCCTTTGCCAAAGCACGCTGCAAACAACTGGAGCACATTTTGGGCATACTTTTTATACATCCAGCCAACCAAGTGACACTTTAGAAACTATGAAACATTTTTAAAACAAACAGCTGTAACCTAAATCCTGCTGATGCTTTACAAAAAGCTTTTAAGTGAAGGTATATGGCCCTTAACTTTAAGTGCATCTGCTAAAGGGAGACCCACATTACAACAGTGTCAAGATGGGATGTTTCAATGAGTCCTTAAGTTTACACTAAAGCACTTGAGTATCCAGTTCATATTCTACAATTGTAATGTCACAAAACTTCAATATACAACTGAGTATGGTGTCTTAAAATAGCAAAGGGGGCTCCAGAACGTAGTTTGTTTTAAAAAAATAACAACAAAATAAATAAAATAAATAAAAGCCTCCCATTGCTAAGCAGAACTCAACTGAAATGATTTGAGAGCTCTGCTCTAATGCCAACGGCACTATATTACAAAGATGTGTAAGACCTCTACTCAAATATGCTGACTGCCATTATTCAGTACTAGATACCACTTCTATCAGATTGCTTTGGGATTTACCATGTCTCAGCAAGGATGCGCACTGGATAGACACTGTCAGTGTCATATGCTGTGTCAGAATTCTATGCTCAGCTATACTAATTTCACCAAAACCAGCCTTACTCCCCTAGGGTAAGGCTGTGATTACTCTTATTTTGCCATGGCTAAGTAAAATCCCTGAGAATATGCAACTGTTAGACATTGAAGGAAACAGCCGAAAGCATTTCTAAAGGAAAGGGATGCAAAACTTCAGACTAGTGCAGTTTAAGAAACCAAAGTAGTTCATGTAAAGTATACAGAGCGAGGGTGCTGTTATCTGAGTCACATGGACCTCTATCAGTATGCAGGTCACTTGTTCATAAATGTCAGCCATTAAAAAAACCAAAACAATCCTAACCAATTAACAAACCAAACAAATCAAACAGAAAACACCAACCTTCTCTCCAATTCTAAATTTGAAGACCAAAAGTTAGTTGCTTGTTCTCTACAATTATAGAAATCAAAAGCAATCATCTTCTCTGCTTGCCAAACTGACATCACAAGAAAAGAAAGAAGTGAATTGTCTAGCAGTGTATTTGCTTCCACTTGGTCATCTGGTCTATTGCATCCTTAGAGGTATAACTTGGAGTTCAGCTCTGCAACATGCTGCATGGGTTTCTTTCTCAGTGGTGGTTTGACTGGAAAGACAGCATTCGTTAGTCTTAGAAGTGCTCAATGCTCCGCAGTGCATGGTGAAGTACCAGTTTTGAAGGCAAGGAGACCTTCCTCAATTCCTTCTCTATAAATCCCCTATTTAACAACAAGCACACAGGGGTCTCCTGAAGCCACCGTCTCCTAAGAACATTCTCAGAAATACCAACTTTATAGAGATGAGCAAGACAAGAAAGCCTGTTCTGAGGCAGGATACCACGCTGGTTAGAGGATATGCAACGTGGACCACTCTATTTGTTAGAAGAAAGAAGAATGGTAGAAGTTAGCAATTGCTGAAGTTAATGGCCCAATGACGCTGTTAAGTTCTCTGCTTATGAAATAAAGCCTCCTTACTTTTTGCATCAAACATTGGGTCTGATGCACTACTAACAAACCAGTGGTCCTCCCGCTAGTTAAAAAACAAAACAAAACAAACAGAAAATCCAAAAATACCTCCAAGACTTTAAGTGCTGAATATGCTTTCCTGCTACTGGAAAGGTCAGAGCAAAAAGGGAAGCCAATTTTCATCATGATCTCACAGTTAATTTCTAGAGAAGAGGGATTTTTTTCCTGCTCTTCCCATACCCCAGCTGATATTTTGTGGAAATGTGGTCTCCATTACCTTCCCAGAGCATTCAGCTAAGAACTATTACAACAAAGTTTCCCACATAATAGCCGATAACCCTGAGGAAACCATGCAGGGTAGAGAGTTGGTTGTTCTGCTGCAGGGGTGGTTTCTTTGCATTCATGCTTCGAAGGAGCAGACAGCCAAATCCCAAAGGCCCTCTGCTTCATTTTTAGCACTGCAAGTAGTGAAATAATTGAATGGAGCTCTGGTCAAAAGTTTTGACTTTTTACTCAAGCATAAATATATACTACTTAAATTAAGAAAACACAAAAACTAAAACCCCACATCCTTCTGATTCCTCTTGGTGTATGCAAAAACTACAGATAGGCACAAGTCAGAGAAGATGACAGAACAAGACATGCTATTTAAATGCCTAATTACAGTTCTGGTATCTTGCTTTATACACTAAGTGTGATGTTTGGTCTTTTCTTAAAGCATCATATGCTTTTCTTAAAGCTCACAATGCTAGGCTCTTTAGAAAGGATCGAGTATTTGGTGTGAAGAGAGGCTCCCGTCACAGAGTGATGCCGGGCAGCAGGCCTGCAGTACATTCATTTTACGGACAACGTGGGTTTTAGCCTAGCAAAAGCCAGTACTTCTCCTGTGAGTATGGTGACACTGAACCTTCTCCTGTATTTACAAAGATTTACTAATTCTAAGTACCTCATTATCAGTCTTCTTTCTTCCTGCACATGAGCTAAACTCAACTCTTTGCACAAAGCCATCTGAAGCCCTAGGTCACCACTGAGACCCATTTATTCCTTGATTGGGCAGTGAATAATTCACAGACAGCCATCTAGTCATCAACACAACTAGTAATTTTGTCCTTAACCATATCACTAGCTAAAAGGACTTCTTTATTATTTTCAATAGCAGCAGTGTTAAGGAGCACATTTTTATCTGTATCAGCAAAATGGGAAAAAGGGCAAATCTTATTTTCTTAATTTCCAGTCACTTCAACATCATTTCAGATTTTCAGGCTTGTAATTGGCCCAATGTGTAATGACTCCTTGACAAATTCTAGCTTCTCCTACACTTTACTCATTTCATGTCCACTTTCATGAAGTCTCTGCCCATAATTGCAGCTTAGGAAGGATTTTAATAAAATCTGCTTTTTAAACTGCTAGCTGTATTCAATTTAAAAGCAAATATTACTTTTCTGTGTGAATTTGATTTAAGAAAACCCTAAACCCAAAATAGAAAAACCTACCAAAACCTTAATAAACCAGGATGATGGACATGATCTTCAATTGCTTGTGTAAAGCACTGTTGCAATTAGCTGGGCTCTGCCAGTCTGTGCCAGCAAATTTCTTGTGGCCCACTGGCAGGAGCTGACAGGGAGAACGTGGCACATACTGGGAGCTGGTCAGGGAACACGACCCACAGTTTCAAAGGCTGGTTCCTGGGGAAGCTCAGACCACCAACCATATATGCTTGTGGTGAAGATCTCTAATATTTGGGGAGGTGCTGCATTAAAACGCTTCAACCCAAATTAAGGGACAAATGCACAGTGTACCTTATAAGGTGGCATTTAACTGACCTTCTGTTCTGCTACCAAAGTAATAATAACTCTCACTACCTCTGTCCTCCTACACCTCCTCTGTCCTCCTACAGGTCAGAGGGAGTGGGCACAGGGCATGGGAGAGCCAGAGCCAGCAGCGCCCGCCTGGGCTCCATCTCGACTTCCTTCTTCCTTCCATCTTGCTCCGCTGCACGTGCGGCTCTCTCCTAAGGTACGGGAGCAAAGGCCAAATTCTGCTCTGTTACTTTTATGAGGTGAAGAGAAGAGGGAGTGCACAGGCAGGAAAGAAACAGTCAAAAACATTCATCACAGACATAGTTATGACCCAAAGAGAAACAGTACCTCTGCATTTAAACACAAAACAAGCGTTAACAAAAAAATAAAAATCATACATACCCTTCCCCAAAAACACTCACAACACCCTTCCCACCTGAAAAGATACAATGAACAGAAATGATGTCCAAGAAAGCCCAAAACGGAAGAAATTTTTGTTAACAAACACAGTCCCTGAAGTTTTAAGACACGGTCTTGCTGTAGTCATACCACCTCGTCTGACTCCAAACCATGTACTTCATAGAGAGTGTCCAAGATATTTAGCTGCTTTTCCATGGCTGGTAAGTAAATGTTGAGGTCCCTCTGCATTCCTTTGTAAAATGATTCTTCCTGAGGATCACACTCCTCTACAGACAGAGCTGCCACAAAATCTTCGTACGTTGGAGCCGCCCTTAAAGCTAACTGGGAGAGGAACCAAAACTTTTAGATTTGCAAAACAGAACAGGAAAAGAAACTGAATTAAAGTAATGAAAAACTTTTGAGACATCCCTCTCTGCACTTAGACTGTATAGCTTTAATGTATTTATGTGTATGTGCGTATGTTAAGATTTTTAACAGACAGGGAGGCTAATATATATATATACATATATATATATATTTATTATCTCTATGTGGATCCCCAGTTTAAGACATCTTCAGAGAGGTCTGCTTTTAAGGAAGTGAATTAAATACAAACCCCAAATAAAGTACAGTTTGTTAGGGGAGCTCCCAACCCAGTGTCACACACTTCAACATTGAAGTCCCTTTCTCAAAACACTCTTTAGAAAGCTTTCCCCAACATTTCTGTTTCCCCCAGTCAAAGCCTCTGCCATGACTGCTTGGATGAGCCTCTTCTTTTTTCTTTTATAATTTTAGTGGTAATTTCCAGTGACAGACACGAGGGGGAGCTGCCAGACTGGACAAAAATAAACTATTTCCTCTAGCCAATATATTCTACTTCAACTGCCTGACACATTCTGCACTAACCCTTCTTGAATGCCCACATCCAAAGACAGATCAATCCTCAAAAAAAGCAACCGCAAACCCTCATTTCTTCATGTAATAGCCCCGCAAGACTGTGCTGAAAAGCACATAATGAAAAAAATGTGCATGCAAGCGTGTTCCATCTGTTTTGGCTCCAGAAAGCAGGTTCCACCCTGAAAGCCCAATACAGAACTTCGCGATAGCCACAATCCTCACCCGGAAAATAAGGTCTGACAAGGTAATCTATTCATTTTAATGCATATAATTTTAACATGGTTTATTAATTACACACAACATAAGACCACATTAACAAGACGCCCAGCTCTATCAGCAACCAAGATACATACTTACCGCAAAGACCCCGCGGACAACCCAACCATGGTGCTGCCGTAATGTCTTTCCATAAGCATTGTCTTAAAGGAAGAAAAAAAAAAAAAAAATCAATCAAGAGAGAGATGTACGGCAGTTTTAAGTTTGCATCACAAAGAGAACTTAGAGCTTAGAAATTACTATTTAAGGATATATTCTTGCCACTGGATGCAAATAATGGCTGTTTCTGAGCACCAAAGTCATGACTGAAACGAGATGACAGATTTGGGATTTCTGCACGGAGGTCTCAGCTCTGCTGTCAAATCTCCTTCAACTCATCCACGGCAAGTAAGCGTTCTAACAGACAGGAAGGCAAATGTAATTTTTATTTGACTAGCTGTGATTCATGACTAACGCTTCTTCTACTATCTAGTTCTCAGTTCAGTGCAAGTCTGAGAAAATAATATACGGGGTGAAACAATCCTGCAACCTGATGGTCAGCCAGCCTCAATCAAGGTGGTTAGCTCAGGCATTAACCAAGAACTCTCTCTTTACATCTGAGGGTCAAGTTTCGAGGGTCATTGGAACAGAAAGCACTGGGCCTTTATTAAAATAATCCTCAGGATCTCTATTGTGAGTGTCCCTGATTGTAGCCTTTGATGAAGACCCTTTTTATGTTCCTAGACAGCTCCACTTTCATATACAAAGCTTTTTATGGACAAAGCCAAATATCTTTGAGCCACATTTTCCCAGCCTTAGTTTGTCACTGCCATCATTTCATATCCTTGTCCTTCTGTTGAATTTTTAAGTATCTGACACCGTATTGTACTTTCCCTGAGCTGTTCACCCTGAAGAAATAGAACTTCTACATTTTGCTGCTTTAGGATATTTGCTCAAAAGACTGCAGACAGTTGTTATTGGAAGAGCATAAAAAGTCAGTAAAACGCAGCCACAAGTTTTATTGTAATATGAAGTACTCCTTGTCTATCAGTCTAATGACTGGGGAATGAGGCTTTTCTATCTTTACAGTAGGAGAGAGAATCTATGAGAAAAGCATACAGTAATAAGAGCAATGAAGTAAGGAGAGAGAGAGTGTTGTGTAGAAAACAGGACTGACAAGTCTATTCTCTGCCTTATCAGCAAATACAGGGGACATTAAAAACACCAGAAGTTGAAAAGCTTGCTTAGATTTAAATCCCAAGTAAAGACAAATCCCTTTAGAAAGCTGTTTGTTCCTCAGAAGATCATAAGAACTGGTGGATATTCCATTTTTTATTTTAATTTCATTAGCTTGATATTTGAGGTTGTAGAAAAAGAACATACACCCCATCTTTACTTGAGATTCAAATAGCACAGTTAACTCCTAAATGAGAAACTGTAGCAGTAAGCCAAAGCTGCACTGGTGATACAGATATGGATGAGGGGGAGAAAGGGAAGGAAGAAGTGAGAAAAAAACAGCTGCACAGCTCTGTTGCACACAGAGCAATTGAAGAAATAATTCAGTGCTGAAGCCTTCAGACTCAGAAGGTCAAATAAGTGGCTTGGCTTTCTGTGGTATTTAACATCCACATCTGGTAGCAGCATATTTACAGTCCCACTTCCTAGAGCTGCTTACATACTTCAGTGTAGTAGTTCTTTTTACTAATCCTACAGGACAACTGCTTAGCTGTTTAAAAGAAGCTAAAAAAAATAAAGCTTTAAAAAAAGCTGGTTTAAAGCCATTTTAAAGGATTATCATAACATTAGGCTGCATGCATATAGAGAGGGTCTTACTCAGGAATAACCAAGTCAAGTCTGAGAGGGGTTTGTATTTTGTTTTATACTTTATGTGGGCACTAGCCTGACTCAGTAAGTATCAGAAATTGTGTACTTGGAAAAAATTCCTTCTTTTCTGTTACAAACTCCCTTCTAACTGACACAGGCAATTCACAGCCATACTGGCAAAGAGGTGATTTCAAAGAGTAATAGCCAATCTCATAAGGAACTAAAAAAATAACACAACAGCAACTATAAATGCGGGAGTGCTCTCACTGCAAACCAGTAGAGAAAATGGAATGAGACAGAGCACTTTTTTCCCTAAGATATGACCGTCTCCCCTGCCAAAAGTATGCCAACTAAAGGAATCTTTATCTGCTATTAAATCAACATTGACCAGTTATCTAGTAATCTGCCTGAAGATGGCCATTTTCAGAAACTGCAATTTTCAAAAAAGTTATGTCTTGGAGATTACTTGCATCGTTAGTCCCTGAAGAAAAGAAAACATAGGTTCTAAACGAGGAGGAAAATAGCCAAGTATATAAATTCAGAAGCACATGAAGAATAAAGCAACTGGCACTTACTCAGAGCTGTTTGGATATTCTTTTCCCCATTCTTCACTTCTGTCAAAAACCCTTTCAAGAACTTTAAGCCTCTGTCAGGATGAACCCACAAAATAAAAAGAAACCATGTTTATAACAAAGTAACCCAAAGTATAACAAAGCCCCCAAAGTTGCAATACAACTCAGCTGTGCAGTAAAACTCAGAATTAAGGCACTATTTTCAATCTGAATAAAAAAAAAAATGCAGCCACCTCCTCCAGCCTCTCTCCTAGCCCAAGGGAAAACACTTCGCTAAAACATTTCTGCTGCAGCCTAAAATCACCTGCCTGATATTCTGGCCCAGCAGGATCACTCACTCACTGTAATTTCACTTTTATGGGAAAAAAGGTTGCCTGCAATCGCTTTTTCAGGCCTTTTGGCAAAGTTACAGCGATACAACCACAGACAACACATTAATCTTGAACCTAGCCAGTTTGGATTGATGCAGCCTGTGGAAAGTAACCACTTTTCTCCATGTACATAAGCTTGCACCAATGAAAGGCCCCTCATTCCACCTTAGCCGTTCATAGTGTAAGTAGATACAAGGCCATTACCTTTTCAGCCACAGGAGAGCCTCCGTAGCAGAGTTTCTAACTTGTGCTACACCGGCATTCACTTCATGGAGCACTATCTTCTGAAGGGTATCAAACTCTTCTTTGTTGGTTATAAATTTCTGGTTTATTTTCTGGAGAGAAAAAACAAAGCTTTAGGCTTCTAAGACCAAACAGTGGCCTGTCCTATAAATACCACCCGTTTACCAGGACTCTTCCCTGCAAAGGATACCACAGATCCCCAACCCCATCACACAGCCCCCACGGCATGGCTGGCCTGCCACGCCAGGCACGCCTTCGCAGGGCACAACACCAGACACATCTGGCTAGCCATCTGCTTAACGCAACCGAAAAAAAGCATCTCAGTCAAAGATTTACATGGAACCTACCATTTCTGCCTGACAAAATGCTTTAGGTTCGCATGGCATCCTCCACACCGGTGGAACGGAGTTAAACTCAACCTGCTCTCTGAGCAAAGTCCCATTTGGCCCAAGCTTCAAGTACAAACAAGACTGCCTTCTGACAACTGCTAAGCTGCAAATTCTCAATTACACTTAGCAGTCATTGGCATGCTTAAGCTTTTTAATTTATTCCAAGGTTTGTTATACACAACTCCTCACAAAAATAAAAGGCAAAATATATGTGGCAGTTAAACAGTCGTCTTCTACCTTAAAGGAGCAGCTGCCTACCATTTGACAATAAATATTCAATTTTTTTTTTAAATAGCATCCTTCCCTCTTGCTATTTTCAGTCTTTCAGTCGCTACCTTCAGCAAGATAAGTTCATATCTGCCCTACTTTGCACCAAACAAATCTCAATGTATACAACGTTGCTCATCATACACTCAGGAGATATGGTTTGCTTTTCTGCTTTTTCCTTGAAAGAAAAAGCTGTGAAAAGTCTCACTATGAATACATCTTGTCTCACAAGTAGCACTTCAAACCTTTTCAGACTTGGAGCTGGAAGGACTGTCAGAATGAGAACCGAAGCTGCAGTGTCTGCCCCGACCTGCTGTGAAGCTGCTTCTTAATGCACTAATTTGCTCTTACTTGTTTGAGGAAAGGGTTTTTTTCCCCCTGGTTTGTTTTACAGTCTAAAGTCAATATTGCTACCATTGCATCATGACTTAGAACCTATTCAGTGCAGAATCGAAGTCATATTCATTAGGTGTCACAGATGTTTTACTTGGCAGTCAGTCAAGTATTTTATAAGTTTGTGCACAACAGCTGGATTTATTAAACACAGCATGTACTGTAAGAACAGAATTAGGGGCATTTCAGCATTCTGATTTGACAGATGGTAACATTATCAAATACTAAATAGCCTTCCAATATTGACTCCTACAACAAAGATTCTTGAGCTTTAATACCTAAAATATATATTTTGTTTAAAAAAAAAAAAAATGGTGTTAGAAATAAGCTGTTACCTTGATGTTACCTACAAAATCCATTTTAACAGGAGCAAAAACAGTTGGTCCCAGCTTGTCTAGGAAAAAAAACAAAGGCGATCATATTTTAAAATTGTGGTCTTTTCCAGTCCTCACGTCTTAGTAACAATTAATTTCATTTACTCTCTTAACAATCCTTCTAAATGGCAAGAGAATACTAAATGAATGACGTAAACCGAAGTCTTTCTTTGGTGTAGAATCAATCCACCCCAGTTGGTACAAGTGTTAAAATACACCGACCTACAATCTGGAAGTCTTCAAAAGGGTGCATGCTTACAGGGTCCTCACATCTACTGTTAGATTCAGGGGCCAAGCAGGTGGGGGGCTGCACTAGCTGGAGATAGAAGTCTTTGGAAAAATCAAATAGCAGCAATAGCTAGTACAGCTGATGGTGTGCTATCAACAGTATTAGACACGCAAGGCATTCCACACTGTTCTTTTGAGGGCAAGAAACCACTGCTCCAAATATACCCATAGATTTCCAGACAGCTTATACACGGGTGCCGTCTAAATGAGAGTGCATCCTCTAAAAAGCAAAAGACTAAGCAATATCTTCTTGTACCAGTAAAATTGATTCTGCTGATAGGAACTATTTCTATCACTTTATAACTATCACTTTAGCAAAGAAACACTTTAGAAATTACAAGAACACAAAGAAATCACTTTAGCAAAGAAACAAATTCTCCAAAGCAACTGCTCCACCTTTTCTCACAGCTGGCAGCTAGAGGAGCAGATAGTAGCAGGCAGCTAGAAGGAGTTAGATGCACCCACGGGATGAAAAGAAAGAGCTGCTTACCCAGAACGGGCACAATTGCGTAACATGACTCCAGAAACTCTTCTGTTGGTATGCCCTCTTCCTCCCGAAGTTCAATATCGCTGAACCTGGTGTCCAGGACAAGCAGAGAAGATTGTTTACCTTAACAACTTTTGTGCAACTTCTGAAGACAAAATTACATTTCATGCCCGCTTCACTCGCATAGAGGTAAAATTTATAGACATGGAACTACCAACATGGCTTTTCTTTCACAAGGTTAAAGTAAATGACTGCAGAAAATACACATTTGGTGGCATGCAAGCAAGGCCTGTAATTACAATAACCAAGGAAAAAACCTCCCACTCCACTCTGTACAGCCAATTCTACAAAAGATATCTTCTTCAATTACTGTGCTGGATGCAGTCATGTTAAATAATCTCAGAAAATACAGTTTTATAGACAGAACAGCCTTAAAAAATGAGTCAGTTAAGGGCTTAAAGTTTCAATAATCCTTTTAATTTACATCTGCAACATGTACTACCTATTGCTCATGACACTGAAGAAGGTAGGAGAATCATTTTCATTTCTGTCTTCCTCACACAGAGTCAATCCACTTAAAGAATTCGTTTCCGACTGCAGCAACTTGTGGGCATCAAAGCTTTCTACAGCTTGCAGCTTGCTCTCTCCATCTTCTTTAATGCCTTACATTTATAGGAAACAGAAGAAAAACAAAAATAGAAAAAGAAAACAGCCACACACCCACATTGTTATTCTTGTTGACACAAGACAATCACACAAGTTTAAAAGCTTTCCCTGCCAACACCATGACTCTCACCACAGTTCCCCTGCTGTTGGATGCTCAGACCACATGTCAACCAGTCCCCTCCCCATTTCTTTTAATCAGACAGACCAAGCACCTGGCTCCAATGCAGGTAAGCCCATATATCCTCAGCAAGGACAGCAATATGAGAGAAGAGCATTGAAGAAGTGATTGGGTGCAGCAGGGAGCAGACTCATCTTGAAAGAAAGATTACTTCTCACATGCTGTAACTTCCCTGGTGTTGATAAAATGGCACAGTGCATTTTCAAAAGGAAAAGAATAATAGTGACTTGTTTGGTCTTTCTGATAAGTAAGTAAACTGGCTGCTTAGATAGGTACTGCTATGATATCAAAGGCTGCTATGTTCTCCCCAATTTGTATGAGTATCTTTAAAGTTTCCCAGAAAAAGATCCAATTGCCTCTTCCCCACTGTTCTCTATTTCTTCCTTGGGGTCAAGCGCATTTTTTTCAAATAAACAGAGCACTACGTGAGCACCTCTGAAGGAAGACAAAGTCTTAGACACCCAAAGAAAAGCCACATCCCATGTGTGGTAAGGCCTTCTGACCTCACGGAGAAGTGCAGAGAACAATTCAAGAAGCAAAAGTGATATATTCCCAGTATCTGCAGTGCACAGGCCATGGCCACAGCATGTCTTGCTGCCATACTGTCACACTAACATCCAGAATTTCTCGGGGAACATGTCTCTCCAGGAAAGGAATACTTTCAAAGGCCAGTGAGGATTTATAGGCCTGAAGTGGAACTGAGCTCCTGGCTGAAGGGATCCAGCTGCAAGGAACTATCTTCCTCTGAGTAAAGCCTGAAAACAAACTTGCAGCTTTCCCTATTACTTGCAGAACCACTAAATAAGCCTAGTGCTGCGTGAATAAAGAATCACTCAAACCCGATAACAGCAACGAGACTTTAGCCGTGCTCCTCAGGCCACCACTGACCATGCCTTACTCACAAGCAAAGTGACTCTGCTAAGGAACTAGAGTTTGAGGGATGTCACTGATCTGTCCTTCACCAAGACACATGGGATGGTGAGTAGAGAAACAGCCTGAGTCCACAGCGGCTCCACAGGAGTGCCACGCATAAAGCCTGGGGTCCTCTGAAACTTCGAACTCTAACACTGTAAACACTAACTGACAAACTGAAACTTCTTACGGGACTTAAATGCTTTTTAAAGATTGACTGCTCTTAATGGAGGGGAGAGGGAAGGAAGAGTATCTGAGACAGGGCAGAGCTCCTGGGCTCACAGGGAGCACCCAAATACAGCCACCAGCAAGACAGAGCCCCAGGCTGGCTGGGTCAGCCCATCCCAGATGGGTGGCACTGCACATCCTGCTCCACACCGTACTGCCACCAAAACTCTGCAGCTTACATGTGCGTACCCAAGAGGGGGTAGGCTTTTCCCTTTTTTGCACAGGAACAACCTCAGTAGCTAAATACCAACAACCTGACTTGAATTAGTCTCATCTCCTTGCTTTAGCACTGTATTCTTGAGGTATTACGCTAAATGGTGACACATGCATGTTATTCTACAGGGACTTACCACGTAACACAACACCAGTTACAGAAATGGGAAAAATTCCAGAGAACCCATGTAAGAAAAAAATCACCATGTTCATTAACTTGGGCTTAAAAACTTCAGCTGATTCACTGACCGCATATATATGTTTTGGAATAATGGCCAGGCAGAGAAAGCTACTGTTCAAGAACAGTCCATTCAACAGGACAGGCAGAAATCATACATTACTTGTATAGACTTACCCAAAGTAAGTTCAGCAGCCCTTAACAATATAGCTATGTTGCATGGAATTTTATACTGAATTAGTTCAACAGTGTTTTACTGAAGTCACACACAAATCTAAGTTTCCTGCTGTTGCTAAGGTAATGGAAGAAATAAGGTGCTTTCTAATACACTCTTAGTTGCAGAAAAACTGTTAATTTTCCATAAAGATTTGTCAGAGCAATCATGAGCGACTACAAGGTCAACCCCTCCAAGACAGGCACACAATTAGCTTCAGTGCCCCCCTTCTGACAGTGCAGCCCTACATACTAGCAGAGATGACAGCATTCCTGGCGGAGGGCCTCTGGGAATAACGTCTGTCCACAGTGCAAGACAAGCCCAAGCCCTGCCAGGCTGTATTGTTACGCACGTCAATCAGCATCTAGAGGAGCCTCCGCTTGCCCAAAGAAGAATTTTTAATTTCCTTCCCCATTCAGGCTCAAGTTAGCTATCAACAAGGGCAGGAGCTATGCTGGGAAGACTTGACAACAGGCAGATATCAGACTAAAATACACTGACATTCCTTCTCCTGGGAAGGAAGGTATTGGCACTCTCACAGGCAGCCTACACCTCCCTCCATTTACACTTTAAGAGTAACGATTCTGGATAAAAGATGGTGCATATATTTACCTGCCAAATCCTCTGCTATGTGGTCTTCAACAGAAACATCACTGCCCCCCTCATTTGTTTCTGGGTTTAAACATTCCAGACTTTTAATAAGGGTTTGCTCTTGATGGTTAATTTCTGCTTTTACAGAGCCATTTTCACAGGGGTTCATCTGCCTGAAGAAAGGGAAAGAATAATGGTTACTGTATAAAACATTGCTTGGTAAGCTTCTTCCTGTGAAAACACACAAATAACAATAAGAGAAAAATAGTTGACAGAAATTATAGGCTGCCACAGGCTGCTCTGAGCAAAAGATCTTGTCTAAAATAACAAAAGGAACCAGGCAGCTCTTTGCAGCAAGTAGGATTAACAATTCAACCTCAGTTTGCGGAGTTTGAATATATTTACAATGACCTTTATTGAAAAGAGATATAATAAAAAAAATACAATTGATTACAAAAAAGAAAATCACAGGCAGGTATTACAGCTAAAAGAATATCCCCGCATTAGTACGTTAAAATATGCCATCTACTCCACAGATCATAGCCTGCTCTCCATCAATGATTTTATGAGCTTATGGAGTGGAACCTGAGATGCAGGAAAGCGCACTGAAGTGGGAGAGAGCTGGCTGGTGACTGACCAGTAAGTCACCAGTAAGTGGATGGCTGAGAAAAATAAAAGGGAAAGGACTGATAAAGAAGAGACATGAAGTGGGGTGAGCCAGCTCCCTTTTTTTGTGTCTGCTTCCAAGTACACAGCTCAGAGCAATACAATTCTGCCTGCATCCAGTACTAGTAATATTAGAGTACAAATATGGAAAGAACAGACACTACCAAAAACAGATTAGAAAGAGATTGACAGTAAAGACTTCTATTATACCTTTCCGTTGAGGTGTGACTGGACAAGACAGAGTGCTTTATCTGTAAGATAAATGGGGAGGGGGAATATTCTTTAAAGCAAGAAGACTGTATCATGCTTCTCAAGCTTCACATTTTATTAAGCCTAAGCTGGAGTCAGCAAAAAAGCTGAAAAGCTAAGCATACGCTCACTAATTCTCTGACCTGGAAGCAGTATACAGACAAATACGAAAAAGGTGCTACATTATTACACCATTAAAATATTGAAAAGCTAAAAAAAAAAAAAAAAAAAAGAAAACCAGGAGACTTCCTTTAGAAGCTAGCTAGCAAGTGCCAAGTGAGACACCATTCAGCATGTGGAAAAGAAACAAGTAAAAAAAAAAAAAAAAGAAAAGAAAACCAGGAGACTTCCTTTAGAAGCTAGCTAGCAAGTGCCAAGTGAGACACCATTCAGCATGTGGAAAAGAAACAAGGCAGTGAGTTTTCTTTGCAATGATGTTTTCTTCACTTAAGAAAAAAAACGAGGAAAAAACAGACGAAATGTGAGGCCAGATACCAGGTCTGGTGAAGTAATCTCACTTCCCAGATGCAGTGACGTGTCTACATTCCTACGTACAACTTAGTCTGCTGTTTGCCAGAAATGCTCCAGTTTTGTGTATGTAGCTGTGGATCCAGGATTCAAGAAAGTGCCCTTGTCATTAAAAAGATAAGCTCATCAGCTTCTGTGGGCGTATTACCACAGATCCGATGCTGCAGTAGCTTAGAAGAGCAATAATTGCTGTGAGCTCCCACAGTGGACCAACTTGTCATACAGCTAGGTGTTTTTTGAAACATCACTGTCTGCAGAAGGATCAGTCCCTGAAAGTTAATGCTTAATAAATTTCAGCTATTGATAAAAGTTAAGAGATTGGTCACTGCATATTAAAAAATGGCCCCACCTCGCTTGCAAACCACAAGAAAGAGCAGAGTATGTCCAGTACTAGCTATAATATGGGTAAAAATGCATTCCCTACTTCTACAAATGCTCCTTCACAAAAGGCTGCCTTACTACCCGTAACCCAAGACTGAGAGAAAAGGATACTGGCCATTACCTTGTTCGTTCTGAGAACTGCTAAATGTGGGGATCCAGGCGGGGTCTGATGCAATAACTCAGAAGTGAAGGCAGTATTTGCAATCTGCATACATTCTTCAAGAGTCTTCAGGAAGGTGTCACAGGTTGATTTTAACAGAGCTCCCATATCAATCCCGCTCTGTGGGAAGAAACCAATTGGAAGACGTGGACTCACCACAGAAGACCAACTTGGAGCAACTAATGTCTACAAAGCCCACAACTGCTACAGTCATGATTTTTGTTTAACATGAATTAAAATGCAATGTGTCAGCTGCTCAGAGAACTGGCATCACATATTACTGGGGCTATGCCCCCTCACAGCATTACCACTCTTGTCAGCCTCTCACCACCAGTACGCTTGCGTTTTAAAAACAATGCCTCTTAGTTACTTATCCCTGGTGTTAAAAGTGTATTAAATACTAAGCCTTGACGTATTCAATGGCATTCCAGAAGACACCACTGACAGGAGAAATAAAAAATAAACAAATTAAATAGATACAGAATGATCTGCAGATAATAATTTCAAAAATCCCATGAATAAAAAATTATTGCAATTGAAAAACAGGCAGAATGAAGTATCACACTGCCACAATACTCTTCACCTCTGCAAAGCACAGTTATTGATGCTGAAATGCTTTTATCAATAAATCTTTCCAGTGAAATACCAGTAAGATCAGGGAAAGTGAGTTTTCCCCAAGAAGCGTGAAATATGAGCTGGATAAACACCACATTACTTGTTTGTTGTCAACACCTGTGAGCTGCAAGTTCTAATAGTGCCATTTAGTCATTTATACACTACATCATGCTTCTGCACTGTCTGTTAATTCACCATAAACAGTTTATCAGGTATCTTTACAGAGATGGTTTGGACATGTAAATGATGAACCTTCAGGTGTTTTGCCTGCCTGTCCTGCACCTGAGGACCCATCTCTCCAGTGGGAGGTATCCTGGAACTCCACACCAGCTTCTCTAGCAAGTGACATGCATCCCTCTTCACACATTTCCCTCTCAAAGCAAGGGGCAGACCACCGGCATTAGGAGACCCCTCTTAAATGAGGCTTCTTTGGTCAGGAAAATTTGCAAGGTTTGAAACTTTAACTTAAGTGAGGCTAATCAGGCAGTTCTTTCTGGCAATTTTGCTTTTTTGTGGTCTGCATCGTCTCTTGACCTTTTGTGGGTTTCGGTTGAGAACAGAAGTGTTTTGCTGAGCAGGATATTAATGACCCAGGAGCAGACAAATGTGCGCTTCTTGCAAGTTATCTTTTTATAAAAATTTTGTTGCTTTTTTGATCCACTGTATACACATGATCACCTACAGACGTGTTATTATCTAGATCACAGACATCACATCTCACTACTTGCTACCCCAACACAGGGAAAATTATTTGCAACGATACAGTGTTACTCCATTTAAACAAGAACTGTTGTGTGGGTACATTATTTCCCACAGGTTCTCTGCAGAAAGAGGGTGCAATATTAAGTAACTGTGAGTGAATACTACATTGGCTAAGCAGAAGAGTTTACAGTGCTCAAGACTTTACGGATATGGTCTACACCAAAAATAGAGCTGTACCTCTGGTTCTGATACACCAGAAATGCTGGCTTCCTTCGTTTTATGCACTTGCTGAACAAGGAGGTTACAGTACAGTCTAAGTTCAGACATTTTAGTCTTCAAGGCTTCTGTGCTTTCAGTGAACTCTAAAAGTGAAACAAAAGAAGAGTTAAATTTATTGTATCCATCTTGCAGTATATGATTTTGGATAGTTGCTGAAATAGTATTATCCAATCTAATTCAATCAATGCTTCCTTATTTCAAAACATTTTCGATCAACTCAAAAAGATGAGCTGAATTGGCCATAAATTATGCTCCTGACAGGTAAAATACTGTTTCATTATTTGTTTCATAGACAGGAACAATATGTTCCTGGACTGAGGACACAGAAAAAGCAAGTACACAACACTTGACCTTAATGGGCCTTTTAAATAGGATGAAACCCCTACATATCATATTTTTTGTTTTCACTAAGTAGTTTAAGGTGCAAACAATTATACTGTGAATTAAATGATCAGGGTTATAGGTAGAAAACACTGGAGGGAAAAGACGCATCCTGTCCTACACAAAGGGATTAATTTAATATATATCCTTGAATCATAGAGTGGTTGAGTTGGAAGGGACCTCTGGAGACCAGCTAGTCCTACTCCCCTGTTCAAAGCAGGGTCAGCCAGAGCATATTGTTCAGGGCCATGTCTAGTCAGGTTTTGAACACTGCCAAGGATGGAGACTCCACAACCTCTCTGTGCCACCTGTTTCAGTGCTCCCTCACCCTCACAACAGAAGCATTTTTGCTTATGTCTCAATAGAGTTGCTTGTATTTAAATTTAGGACCATTTCCTCTTGTCCATTCACTGAGAAGAGTCTGGTTCCATCATTTTTATGCTCTCCCATCAAATATTTCCTTTAGTAATCTTAGTGGCCCATTGCTGGACTCACTCCAGTATGTTCATATGTTTCTTGTACTGGAGAGTGCAGAACTGAGCAGACTAATCCAAATATGACTAACAGTCAATCTGAGATTTTTCAGAAGTAATTTTTTGACATTAGAGTCCCAGAATTACAAAGTAAATTATTTTGTCTGTTAGTAAGACTAACATGGTTTAGTTCTGCAAATACATCAGCAGCTTTTCACCCTGTGCTACTGTATGCCAGTTTATAGATATAACCTCTTTCTGCTTCTAGGCACTGTGTATCAGATCCCCACTTTGTGGAGGACCCTACCGTAGCATCTTCTGCTCAGTTCTGACTCAGTTTGAACTGGCAGATGCAAAGCCTGCACATAAGGCTAAGAGGAGAAGCAATTCCTCAACTCAGTGAAAGGAAGTGCCCACCCCTCCTGCATTTGCTCAGGATCACTGATATCTTAACAATAATTTGCTGTTTTCCCATCTTCTGCATAGTTATTGTGCTGAGGCTACACAAGGTTAAGGCATGAGGTCTCACACTGATTCACGAATGGCACCACACTTGTAGGCAAGAGGGGTTTTCACTGGGGGAAAGTGAGATTGTTGGTGAAAGCAAAGAGGTAAGTGAATTAATTTTCATAGCCTGACCATGATCGGATTTCAGTTTCCGAATACCAGCATGCACATTTAAAACCAATTGCAAACCTTTATTTTAATTGCCAAGGGATTCTTGAAGTGCACAAGACAGCCCAGTTAAAACATGGAAGGAAAGGGTCTGAGAACTCCAAAGCTCAAGAGCCACTGGTATGAGAGGCTGGGTCATCATACTAAGACGGTTGCACAAGGTGAGGGTCTTACCTTCATGCACAGACTGCATCCCAGTGACCTGCAGCCAGGAGCTACTCATTCCTTGTACTTACAGAATTTATCAGCACACGATTTTCAAATTATTTATACATAGTATATTTTAAGGAAAAAACGAAGTTTTCAAATCCCTGCACCGAGAGTTAACACCTGAGATTTCTAGCTAGAGTTCCCATGTGGCTTGGCTTTTAGTGGCACCAAAGACCTGAAGCACAGGTTGGACACAGAGTTCAGGTATAGATTTTGTAATCTTTATGTGTACACCTACTAGGTCAAGGAGAGGGAAATAAAAAGCAAACAGTATGTGCCGGCAAAAGGGTGTTCTTGCCTTTTTCCTTCTGCGTTCTGCTGTCAATCAGACAGGCTTTGGCAGTTCCTAGCGCAACCAGCCACTTTTGCCTTTCAGCTGCATTTCTTGCCTTCAGGTAGAAGTATTGCTCCCCTGGGATGATCAGGTCCATTCGTGTGCTGTCTGCAGGATGAACTGGAAGCAACACAGATTTCAGACCAGTCCCTCAGCCCTTCCCAGCCCAACTGAATATAACAACAGATATATTAGGTGGCAGGTCAAACAGTAAAGAAAGAGGAGGAATCTACAGCCCCAAATTACTCCTGTTGCCATTTTATGACTTCTCTTCTGAGTCAGGGAATAGACAGGACATACATATGTACAGCTGTGGGACAAAAGGCTATGAAAGGCAGTTTTGTGATCAGTACAGTATCATCTGGGAGTCTTTATGGAAAGGGCATCCTCTTCTGGCAAGCCTCTCTTTCAAGTTTCCAGCCCATAACTGAACCTCAAAGATGTGGCAAGGAATCCAATTTGAGTGAGCAGACCTAGTACTGAAGTTAATTATTCACATTTCTAGCTTCAGCTTTGTGCTTATGAAGAGTCATTTGAAGCTGTATGATGTTCCACGATGGCTCATGAAAAACAGTGACCCACCTGCGTGTAGAATACCCATTATATTAGAGGCTTGCAGCTTTCTTAACATTTTCAAAATACTATAGAATAAAAACTGGCACATATATGAAGTTACTGAGTTACTACAAATACATACCAAAGAAATCAAGGAGCCAAATAGCTCTTGTGATCTGAAATCTCATCTTGAATGCACCATTATTGGACAAATTTCATGCAGCTGAGTGTTACTGTATCTTAGTTACCTTGAATTTCACACATGCCCATTTGGATGCTTCCCTTACAACCCTTCCAGGCATCTTCCTGAGAGTCATAATAGGACAGGATGCCACCACAGAGAAGAAACCATCGAGGCTGCCAGCCTGAAAAACAAAACTGCATTTCTCAGTTGCTTCTCTCCCTGCAATTCTACTACCTCTCTCATTCAGGACTTCCTGCAAATAAGACCCCAATGATTCTCAGTCCCCCCAGGAAAATTAAACTCTTTAAAGTGGTGAGATTTGTGGACAGGCCTGGACGTTGTACACCACAACCCCTGCTTGCTGGCAGCTACGTGTCCTTTCTGTAGGCAGCTGGACCACAGCGGTATGTTCCTGAGATGCCGTATGTCGTTTTCAGTAGTTTTGCTCAGACAGTGTCACTGACTCACTCTCTCTTCCAAAACCACCTTTTCAGTCCACCACCCCTCAGTTCCTTCCATCACTCCTTCACCCACCTCGTCACTGTTTCCAAAAGCTACCCCAGCTGTCTTGCCTTACATGTCTTCCTCCCTTGCGGGAAGGTCTAGCCAAACCGTCTTGAAAAGCAATGGGCAAGAAACTCCTAAAAATCAAGGGAAGGAGGGGACAGAGGAGGATGTGTTGATTTCTGAACACCATCTTTCCACGAAGCAGTTCTCAATAGCTCTTGAAACTCTCATGCTGCCCACATAAAAAGTAATCTTGAATTAATGACTTGCACTTCTGGATACCTTCCCAGAGAAAAACCAAACGACCAGGCTAGACCAAAACCAATAGTTCTGGGTACCACTTTTGCCCATCCTGCTGTCCAACTTCAGAAGTAAATTACCCCTTTTGTTTTCTTCTTTTGGAAGTACTACAGCAGTATGAAAAGACACAAACAAACAAGACATGACAGCCATCAGTTATGTCTAATTAAAAACTACAAGCTCATTACCTCAAGAAGAAATGAGGCAGCAATGTTACTGGAGGAAAGCAGTTTTCATTACTGAGCTGCAACAAGCTCCCCCAGACAGGACCAAGGTGTGGTGGTGCGTTCTCCCACCCACCCCTTTTCTCTTGTGCACCTGGCAGAGCGTGGGAAGCAAAGCTGCTTTACAATCTCAGTAACTCCCGTCAAAACTTGGCCTTCATGTAACGAGTTTGGCGGTTAAGCGTCCCTTGACCATATCAGAAACTCTCACATGGTTAAGGTGGAAGCAGCACTGTCTATACCAGGGAGGCAGCCCTGACAACCCCGGAACATAGTTTTTGTCTGTATCAATCGCCTCCCAATAGCCTTGGGGGCTATCTTATCCACGCCATAGCTCGGGAGGATCTGTACCAGCATCACTGGAATTTTTGAGAACTTTAGTGATTTCCAACATGGGCTGTGAAAGTAGAATGGAAATTTACTGATGCCTAAAGTCAATCATCTCGTGACCCTCCAAACAGCAGTACCAAGGGAGACCCCTTTGAGCTCTCCTGGATCGCAGCGGGCTGCACCAGAATCTCCCTCCGGGTGGGATGCCTCTCACAGCTGCGAACTCTTAAGTTTGCATACAGAGGTCTGACAACAGCACCCGGGCTGATCTCTGGCGCCTTTCACCCCTCGAGACTCAACCTTCGCCTGTTGAGTTAATCATTTGATGTGAGTATTTCACTGAACTCAAGGGGAATTTTTACTGGGTATCTTTATATATGCATATTGTGAGTATTTCACTAAAGTCGCAACAAATTACTAGGCCTATTGTCTGTGTGTGTGTATCGATACAAATATTGTAGTAGACCTCATTTAATCTAATCACTTTTTTTTAGACGCTAGATTAATTAATGATTAGTTATGGCTAAATTCTTGTGATTTTCTCCTTGCTGCAAACAAACCTTATACTGCTGCTAGCTATTTTCCTTTTTCTTCTTCTTTTCTCCTTTTTATATGTATTCCATTCATATAGTAAGTAATAGAGCGAACCTTGCCATCGAACTCTATTGAATCACACTTTTATAGATTACTATTAAAATCACTATTTCCAAATATCTTTGACGGTGATTCTTTATGCGACTTAACCACTCATTCGTGGCACAAGGGAGCAAGACACCGAAGCTCCCCACGCTGTGCTGGCAAACCATCTCTGGGAAAAACAGACCATGTGGGCCACACGGCTCCTACACATTTTTGCAGAGAGGCCTTGCCTCTGCTGCCCTGCACCGGGAGGAATGACTGCTCCGTACCAGCTAGGGACCAATTCCTTAGGCTACTGCTGAAGCCAAGCCCAGCCCAGTTTAAGGTTAGAAAGCCCTAAAGCCACAGGCTAATAGTAGGAGTATGATTTGGGTTTTTTTGTTTGGTTATTATTTTAAACAAGCAATACCACAGAATCCGGGCCAACCTGGTCTATAGGTTACTGAACCTTCGGGGTGCAAGGGAAACAAACATAAATCCTTTTTCACACTCTTCCAGAGCTCTTCCATTATTTCCTAGAAGAATATAAAAACATTATAAATGCCAAAGTATTCTCAATACTTTTTTATTTTATGTGAAGGGAAAAAATCACAAGAATGAGAATAAAAAAAAAAGAAAACAGCAAGACTGATTTTTATTTGTCTTGCCACCAAAATAAAGAAACTATCCTAAAAGTCACTATTGATATGGAGGAACTCACAAAAAAAGGAGGTGATTGTTCAGCAGAGAGAAGTAGTTAATTGCTTCAGACACTCAATGGCACAGAAGCAATCCTTTAAATAATGCACAGCACCACAGTCAATACAAGCCTCTAATTCAGCCTGGAGATCCTGCTGCTGCACATGAATCATTTCAATCATGGTCCTACAGCTTACCATTGCAGCTGATGCTCAACCAAATTGCATCCCATCAATCAAAGCCTGTGCAATCAATTAGTCAACATACAAAGCGCTCTGGCTCCATCACTTTGGAGGCTGGTTAAAAATATTTTATGAGTCAATATATTTTGTTGAGGTTTTTGTTTGGTTGCGTTTTTTGATTCTGGGTCTTTTTTTTTTTTTGAGGGGGAAGCCGCAGGCATCTGTCTTCCTTCACAGAACCTAACTCTTCTTTATTAGATATGTATTAAAAAGACTATGATAGGCAATTGTTAATCAGAACAGCATGTATTTTCAGAACAGAATTGTTACACTAATAAAAATATATTTTTATAAAAGGAAACCAATTTAAAAAAAAAAAAAATCACAGCAAGGTTCTGTCAGAAGATGCACTAACCACCTGGTACTCACTGACACTGAGTCAGCAGCCATGGGAAGGTTATCCTAAACAACCAGCTAAAAATAGCATGTGGCTGACAAATCATGGGCAGTGCAACAGGCATACAATCTTCAATTACAGGAGCTTCACATTTGCAGACAAGCAAAGAGCAGAGGGAAGAAAAAAAAAAAACACAACAAAAAACAAAGCAGCAAAAAGACACTTGGACTCTTCCATGAATGCAAGTCTTGGGTTTATTCAGTTTTATTCTCTCTCCATAAACTGTCCTAGGAACACTACAACTTTTGGAACTGAGCATCCAGAATTCACCTGACGTAGAAAGTTAAAGCTGAACCTTTCGAGGTCTTACTGGTGCCAGCACTAACACAACTTTGAAGAAGAATTTACTAAGTCCATTTATACTGGTGGTGGTGCACAGGCAGGACAAAACATAGGTCATACTTCCATAGCTCATTTTAGAGGCACAGAGCCATTAACAGTAAAAATTGACCTTGCTGGGGAAAGACATATATAAAAAAAAGATAATAAAATGCAAAGCACAATAGAAGTGAGTAGTAGCTCAAGGTAGAAGAAAGTGAAGAGATTCCAGACAACTTCACAGACACTGGTTAAGGTCCTAATACATATTGCACTCCTGTGTAAAATTTAAAGTTAGTACCTGCAGTACCTGGAAGATTTTATATTGTCCACTACAGAAACAGATATTTAAGCAGTCTGTGCCTGTTAAGGATTCAGTATTTCTCCAGAAGTTTCCACAGCCTGAAAGATCTGCCTACTTCCACCATTACACTTCAGGAAGTCTGGATGCAGCTATCACTGAGCAAACTTGACACTTCTTGATAACACAGTTGAAACTTGGACATAATTCAAAATTTAATGTTACACAACTCAGACTCCAGACAGCATTCATTCCAAAGTGCCAAGCCTCAAGGAAAAAAAAAAAACATTTGAAGACATGTAGATCATGTCAGACATCCACAAAGCCAAACCATCTGGGAGAATTACATACTCAAGAAGTCAAACTGATGACCTGGAAAACAAGCTGCAATTAAGAGATGTCAGTTCCAGTTGCATTTCTAAAAGGCACAAAGGCCAGACACCCAGGTTTTTATTATTGCTTGCTTTCCACTAGAATTATGTAATACTTTATGGTTATTAATTTCTTGAACTTCAACATAAGTCTTTATAAAAACTTATGCAACAGATAGTCCTTGGACTTCTTTGACCTTAATTCAGATTTTAAGTGCGGATAGGAGATAATTCTGAAATTTCCATGCTAGGGCAACATCTGCCCAATAGGAGGAATTAAAGCCTTCATCACATCCCTACTGCTAATATCACAAGCAAGACCCCAGACTTAGCTGCAGGTGGCAGAGCAGAGCCAGATCCCTGCTCTTCTGTGCAGGGTTGCAAGAGAGTCCCAGAGTGGCTGCTCTGATAGTCAGAGACATCTCACAGCAAGAACAAGCAATATCCATCTTTTCACCCCACCCTGTGCAAAGTAAGCCGTGCCATGTGTTCACCATACCACCGCCTGCCACTTTACCTCCCAGCACCCAGGGGCAGAACAACCACAGCTTCTGCCCAGCGCTGTGTCAACGACTGATAGCTGGACTAGAGCCCGCTGAAAACTCAGCTCAAGTAGGACCAAGACAGTGCTGGTGTCTTGCAAAAAGCAAGAGAAAATCCAATACATGTCCTTCTCCAGTTGCCAGTACTGATGTAATCTATGAATGCCACCAGGTCCGCACCTTTGCTGAAGCCCAGCCTGCTCCTGGTTGTTCAGGTAGCAGCTGCTGGCCAGAACGTACTGCCTTCCCCTCCTGCAACTGTGGCCGCAAAACACCTGCCTTCCAGTTACGAGGAAAGTCATATTTTCTAGTTACAGGATGCATCTAACAGCCGAAACACAGGACCAAGCCAAGTGATCTTATTTCCAGCTTAGAAAGAAGACCGCTGAGCTGCCATGGACTGTGCTGAAAAAGACCCTGACTTCTGCACTGGGCTCGCCACGTCTCCTCGCCTATACAACACAAACGTTTCATACTGGCCCAGAAGGACCACTGCTGTCCAATGGATGAGGATTTCCCCGGGGAATTAAGGCTATGGAAATCTCCACATCACAAATGGACAAAACAGTCGTTTTCAAGGTCCCAACGTGCTTGCAATTGCAACTACTGGGTGCATGCACTAAATCTTACAATCCAGTACTTAACAACTGATGGTGTGTACCTCTCATGAGACTAAGTTCAGTTCATGCGGCCGCGTGTTTCATGCTGTCAGTCATCACTGTGTTTCTAGTTGGGAACAGCATATAGCAAAAGAGTATCTTGCACAGACCAAATCTGAAACTTTTACCTTTTTTTCTCATATAGTGAACAGAAGTAACAGTTAAAGGGTTATCCTGATATGAGCAATTCACACCCAAAACCACTGCCTGCTCTTTCCATACAGCCTCCTAAGGCTACCTGGTATTTTGGGAAGGACAATCCCAGGCACTGGAACACATTTTGCAGCCTTAATTCTGAAGCAAAACAATTTGACAGGATAAAAATCCACAGACCGTATACATGAGGGACAGCAGACAGGCAGACAAGAGTGTGACAATTCACGCATGTCCTCTGAGCTACTACTGTCTCACCTAGAGAGCAGCTTCTAGAAATGCCCATATTGCAATATTACTCTGATTATGTGCACATTAACAGCAGGAAGCAATACCAAAAGCCCCTAAAGGTAATGAAGTTCACAGATTTAGCACTTCAACAATGGTATCACTTTTTAAAGCACTTGTTTGAAGGACACTAGAGGTTCAAGTGAAGCAAGCAACAGCTGGAACCAGCTTTTACACAGTGACCCTCTCCCAAATGATTTTTCTTGCAGGGGTCCCATAAAATCCACCCTCATTTCAACCACAACTCTTAGTGCAGGGCTAGCGGCGTTGGAAAAGGCATTCTGCCATCACAGGGCAACTGGGTTTGTTTGTAAAAGATTTTATGCCAGTGACCAGCCAAGGCATGGAGAGCTCAATGTACCAGCAGTCAAGGCATTTTTCAGGGGGACACAGTGAAAGGATGAAGGGCAGAGAGGGGATCAGGGCGAGTGATGGAAGC